GGGTCAGAGAAAAACCCGACAAGGGGGGAAAAACGAGTCCCCTGTACTGACGAGGTGTCAGAGTGGCGCCTGTGCAAAACGGGGTTTCCCCAAAGGGGGCAGTCCTAGGACCTGTGCTTGCTTGGTATATTTTGAATGACATAACGGGAAAGGGAAAAGACTCAAAGTGTCCTTGTTTGCGGGGTGATGGGAAGTTAAAAGAGAAGAATCAAATCGAATGAGGGCAGGGGGACACAAAGGAAAACCTTGGGCAGGGTACAAGCCCGGGCCAGCAACTGGCTCCCTTGAGTTTAAAACCCCGCCAAATGCCCAAAACATGAAAATTGGGGAAGGGGGGGAAAGAAGACCGCAGACACAATAAAAGTTAATGGCCAAAAATCTGCAAAACCCCACTCAAGGAAAAAGGGTCTGGGGGTGAGTATAAAAAACCGAGCCCTATTCCCTGAGGCGCACATCAATCAAAAACTGCCCGCAGGGATACGGGGGCCTGGCCCAAAACCCACGGATACGTCCCGATAAACCCCAGTAAGGATTTGTTCAAGCTCGTTTTTGCCATTTTCGTCAGGGCCCTACTGGAGGGAGCAGCAAAACCCGTTTGGAATCCACACCTATTTAAGCACTCAAAAAAATTAGAGAAAATGCAAAAGGTTTTTTAAAAAACTATCCCCAAACTACGGGGGTTTTCCTACGAAGAAAGGTTGAAGAAATCGGCCTGACGACACTGGAGGCCGGAGGGGCAGGGGAGACATGGGTAACGACCAAAAAAATACTGCGCCCGGGAAAAGACGAGGTGGACAAAGACAGGGTGTTCCCCCGAGATGGGACGCAACCCCAAGAGGTCCCCAAATTTGGGAATTTTTAAGACTCGGATGAATCAAAGGGATGTTAGGAAGTATTTCTTCAGTCATAGAGTAGTCAGGCCGTGGAATAGCCTAGAAAGTGTAGTGGAGGCGGGAACCATACATAGTTTTAAGTCGAGGTATGATAAAGTTCATGGAGCAGGGAGAGAGAGGACCTAGTAGCAATCAGTGAAGAGGCGGGGCCAGGAGCTATGACTCGACCCCTGCAACCACAAATAGGTGAGTACAAATAGGCGAGTACACCCCCCCCCCCACACACACACACTAAGAGGAAGACAACAGTCAAAGACCAGGTGATCAGGCTGGGGAAAGAAGGTGGGGAACTCGCAAGAAACGATCACGAGGTATGCGAGAAACTCAACATGAGATTTAAGGAAATATTTACAGTAGAGACACGAAGGGCTCTGAGAAGACAGCACAGAGGGGAACACCAATAGAGAATATACCAACAGATGCCGGATACAAACAACGGAGGAGGTGCAGAAGCTGCTAAGTGACCTCGATACCTCAAAGGCGAGGGGTCCGAACATCTCCCCGTGGGTCCTTAGAGAAGGCGCAGGGCCGTTGTGGGTGCCACTAACCACAATCTTCAATACATCCCTTGAAACTGGGCAACTACCTGAGGTATGGAAGACGGCAAGTGTAGTCCCCATTTTTAAGAAATGAGACAGAAACGAGGCATTAAACTACAGACCTGTGTCTCTGACGTGTATAGTATGCAAAGTCATGGAGAAGATTATCAGGAGGAGAGTGGTGAAGCACCTGGAACGAAACCAGATTATAAACGACAACCAGCACGGATTCATGAAAGGGAAATCCTGTGTCACAAACCTTCTGGAGTTTTATGACAAGGTAACAGAAGTAAGTCACGAGAGAGAGGGGTGGGTGAATTGCATTTTCCTGGACTGCAGGAAGGCCTTCGACACAGTTCCTCACAAGAGATTAGTGCAGAGGCTGGAGGATCAGGCGCGTATAACAGGAAGGGCACTGCAGTAGATCAGAGAATACCTAACAGGGAGGCAACAACGAGTCATGGTACGTGATGAGGTATCACAGTGGGCGCCTGTGACAAGCAGGGTCCCACAGGGGTCGGTCCTAGGACCAGTGCTATTTTTGGTATATATGAATGACATGATGGAAGGGATAGACTCGGAAGTGTCCCCGTTCGCAGATGATGTGAAGTTAATGACGAGGATTAAATTGGATGAGGATCAGGCAGGACTAGAGAGAGACCTGGACAGGCTGGACACATGGTCCAGCAACTGGCTTCTCGAATTCAACCCTGCGAAATGCAAAGTCATGAAGATTAGGGAAGGGCAAAGAAGACCGCAGACAGAGTATAAGCTAGGTGGACAAAGACTGCAAACCTCACTTAAGGAGAAAGATCTTGGAGTGACCATAACACCGAGCACGTCTCGGGAGGCACACATCAACCAGATAACTGCTGCAGTATATGGGCGCCTGGCAAATCTGAGAATAGCTTTCCGACACCTTAGTAAAGAATCGTTCAAATCACTGTACACTGTGTACGTCAGGCCCATACTGGAGTATGCAGCACCAGTTTGGAATCCACACCTGGTCAAGCACATCAAGAAATTAGAGAAAGTTACAAAGGTTTGCGAACAAGCTAGTACCCGAGCACAGGGGAAAGTGCTCTATGGAAGAGAAAGGTAGGAAATATCGGCCGACGACACTGGAGGACAAGAGGGTCATGTGAGACATGATAACAATACAAATACTGCGTGAGAATAGACAAGGTGGACAGGAGGGCAGGATATCCCAGAAGGGGACACAGAAACAAGGTTAGCAATTGGAAGCATGAAGACTCAGACGAAGTCACAGGTGATGTTAGGAAGTACTTCTTCAGTCAGAAGTTGTCAGAAGTGAATAGCCTAGCAAGTGATATAGTGGGAGGCGGAAACATACATAGCCTTTAAGACGAGGTATGACAAAGCTCAGGAAGCAGAGAGAGGACCTAGAGCGAACAATGAAGAGGCGGGGCCAGACTGAGTCTCGACTCCCTGTAACCACAATTAAGGTGAGTACGAACCACAACGCAAAACATCACAACCCACAACACAACGCCACACACACACACAACGCAACACACACACACCGACCACACGCAACACCCACACACAACGCAACACCACACACACAAACGCAACACACACACACAACGCCAACACACACAACGCAACATCACACACACAACGCAAAGCACACACACACAACGCAACAACACACAAGCACAACGCAACACACACACACACACACACACACACACACACAACACACACACACACACAACGCAAACACCACACTCACACAGCACAACGCAACACACCCACACATACACACGACACAACGCAACACACACACACATCACACACCGCAACACACACACACACACAACGCAACACACACACAACGCAACACACACACACAACTCAACACACACACCCATCACAACGCAACACACACACAAAGCAACACACACACACAACGCAACACAACACACAACGCCCAACACACACACCACACGATACTACAACGCAATCACACACACACAACACAACGCAACTCCACAAACACACACACAACAACACACACCTACCTGCCTAACTACCTTCAACGCACACCTGTCTACCTATATATCGAACACTTTGTGGTGGGCGGGGTTTTCTACACAGTGTGTGTGTGGGTGAGTGTGTGTGTGTGTGTGTGTTGTGTGTGTTTGCGAATACAAACACTTGAGTGGTGAACACTTGTTCAGAGCCTGCTCACACCCAGAGAGCTGCACGGCCCCTATGTTGTCTTTCCTATACACCCCATAGGAGCCCCGGGTCACCACCTCGAAAGACCCGGGCCAGACAGTACCGGCGAACCTCCAACAATACAGAACCCCAGAGATCCGTATCCCCCTCCCTTCCTCCATCAAGTAACTCTCACTCCTACAACTTGCTCACTTGATCCTGCAGTCTGGAGCTCTCTACGCTGTTTGCTCTTAGTCCACCTAGAGTGCTAGTTGAGTATCACCACCTTACACTAGTTAGCCGTTTCCATCACCGCAGGTCCCCGGCGGCATGATGATACCCAGGTGTGGGTTAACCTGTTGCCAGCTTCGCCGCTACCCGTGCCATGACCTCTAGGTACGAATGGGACTTACATCTTGTTGCCACGGATGGGGGGAGAGGGAGGGATTCGTGAAGAATAAGCTTTTTATTTTTTATTAACATTTAGTTGTTGACCTCCCACCCTCCCCCTCCCCCCTTCCCCTCTCACCATCAACACCACTACTACCTCTTTATACCTTGCCCTCCTCACCACCCACATCTTCCCTAGGCCCTGTTCCTTCTTCCCCCATCCTTCTTTCCTCAAACACTGTTTCCTCACCATCCTTTTCATGCTCATCACCCCTCTCCCCCACCCATAGACTCCCTTTTCTCTAACCACGACCATCCTTTCTCTGACCTTCCCTTTTCACAATCCTCAACTTCCATCTCAACCTTCACGTCCCATCTCTCCCATACCCCCATCTATTTCCCTGCCCATCCCATTTGTCTACCTTTACCTGTATTTTCAGCTATCTGGCCCTCCATCTACCTCACCCTCAACCACCTGCCTCGCATCCAGCTACCTGAACTTCAACCTTTCCCCCTTCAGCTACCTGCCCCTCTCACCCGCATCCTTCCACTCATCTATCCTCTCGCCCATCGTGCCCTACCACCACTAACCCCTCTCGACCACTGCCCTCACATCACCTGCTTTCCTCAACTCACCTACCCTTCTCAACCGACCTGCCCTCCACCTATCTGCTCACCCTACCCACCTTTTCCTATCACTTGCCTGCCCTTCTCACCCACCTGCCCTTCTCACCCACCTGCCCTTCTCACCCACCTGCCCACACCCACCTGCCCTTTCTCAACAACCCCCACCATTACCCTCTGATAACACCTCCCATGAAGTAGCAATACACACTGACACACACACACACACACAAACACCCCTGGAGTTGCTTCAGGGGTTGTGTGGTGGTGTGTGTCTTGGGTGTGGGTGTGAGGGGTGGGTGTGGGTGTGAGGGGTGGCAGGGGTGGGGCATTGCTGTGCTAACTGGCAGGTTTGCTGTTTAATTTGCAGCAGGGCGTGCGCTTTGACCCGGACATGCCGCAGACCAGTCCGCCTGGAGGGTTGCTAAAAGTAACACCAAAGTTCGCAAAGCTAAGCAACAGTCACCCCCCGGCAGCGCCGCCGCACCCCACTCTCTGCACCCCTTCACAGGACTAAGTAACACTGCCTGCCCCCACCATTCACTTCTCCTACCCTTACTGACCCCCTGAACCCCTGCCCTAACCACTCCCCCTCCACACTTCCTTCCTCCACCTCCCGCGTTGCACCTCACGCCACCACCACCCCACCCTCCTTCCTCTCTTCCCCCTCCTGCAGTACTTCCGGCCCTCCCCCTCCCCCACTTCCCCTTCCCTCCGTTCAAAACTACCTTCCCCCAGGTGCTGTATGCTCCCCCTACAGGTTTACCGCTTCCCCATGTGTTCTGGTGAGCCTGCTGTACCTGCTTCCTTCTTCAGCCATTACTGTGGGTGGTGTTGACGGTACACGGGCACCCTCTATACTTCCTTACACCCACAGGCCGCCCACACCGCCGCCCACAAGTGCCGTCCACATCCGCCTCGCAGTCTTCCGGCGAGTATTGCAGGTGTAAGTATAGTGAGTGTGGTGAGGGTGGGCAGTGTGGGTCGCCTGGCCCACATTCATGCCCCTGCTGGTGTGGTGCTTAGTGGGGATGGCCAGTGTGGGTCGCCTGGCGCACCTTCATGCCCCTACTGGTGTGGTGCTCCTTCACTGTGGGTTCACGTTAGATGCACACACCAGAGCACCTCTCTTGCCCACTGCCCACCACACTTACCACCCTCTCTCCTCCTTTTCAGTTTCTCTCTTCTCTCCTTCAAGTGGGGAGAGAACCCTCTGCTTTACTATTCTTACTTCCGGCATCTAGATAATAGGAAATATTCCATTATATCGACAGAAGTAGATACATCTCGGTAGATAACGTGGGTCTGATAGGTCTCGGTAGATAGCATGGATCTGATAGGTCTCGGTAGATAACATGGACTGATATTCCAACGTAGATAGCGTGGATCATGATAGTGTCTCTGGTAGATAGCGGTGGATCTGATAGTCCTCGGAAGATAGCAGTGTATCTGATAGGTGTGCTCGTAGATAGCGTGTGAACTGATGAGGCTCGGTAGATAGTATGGGTCTGGTTAAATAGTTCCCAGTGGAATTACGTGGTTTTAGATAGCTCTCAGAGGATAAGCACAAAGTCCTGCACGCTTGGCATATTTTCTCAGTACCTACTCCACTAACCTTATGCCTCTCTAGCACACACTCCACTACCTTTGTTTAACAGTGTTCCTCTAGCACCACTCCACTACCCTTGTTAACAGTGTTCCCTCTAGCACCACTTCCAACAACCTGTTTAACAGAGTTCTTCTACCCCACTCACTACCTTGTTTAACAGAGTTCCGCTAGCACCACTCACTACCCTTAGTTAATAACAGTGTCCTCCTAGCACCACTGCCACTCACTTGTTAACATGTTCTCTAGCACCACTCCACTACTTGTTACAGTGTTCTTCTAGTAGCAACTCCACTACCTTGTTAACAAGTGTTTCCTCTAGCACCACTCGAACTACCTTGTTAACAGTGTTCCTCTAGCACCACTCGACAAACCTGTTAACAGTGTTCCTCTACACCAACTGCGACTACCCCTTGTTAACAGTGTTCCTCTAGCAACCACCGACTACCTTTGTTAACATTATTCCTCTAGCTCGCTCTCCACTACCTTGTTAACAGTGTTCCTCTAGTACCATTACCCACTACCTTGTTTAACAGTTTTCCTTCCAGCACCACTCCACTACCTTGTTAAAAGTGTTCCTCTAGCACCACACTCCACTACCTTGTTAGCCATGTTCCTTTGTTAGCACCAATCCACTACCTTCTTAACTGTGTTCCTCTAGCACCACACCACTACCTGTTTAACATGTTCCTCTAGCCAACCACTCCACTACCTTGATAACATGCTCCTCAAGCACCAATCCACTACCTCTTAACAGTGTTCCTCTACACCACTCCACTACCTTGTTAACATTGATCCTGTAAGCACCAATCCACTACATTGTAACATTGTTCCTCTAGCACCCTCCACTACCTTGTTTCACAGTGTTCCTCTAGTACCTACTCTCACTACCTGTTAACAGTGTTCCTCATAGCAGCACTCCACTACCTAGTAACAAGTATTCCTCTAGCACCACATCTCCCAGCTACCATGTTAACAGTGTTCCTCTACACAACTCACTACCATGTTAACATGTTCCTCTAGCACCACTCCACTAACCCATGTTAACAGTGGTCCTCTATCACCACGCCACTACCTTGTTAAGCAGTATTCCTCTAGCACCACTCCACAGACCATGTTAAAAGTGTTTTTCCTCTCTAGCACCACTCCCACTACCTTGTTAACAGTGTTCCTCTAGCACCACTCCACTACCCTTGTTAACATGTTCCTAGCCCTCACTCCACTACCTTGTTAAGTGTTCCTCCAGCACCACTCCACTAACTTGTTGACAGTGTTCCTCTAACACCACTTCCACTACTTATTAACATGATCCTCTATCACCACTCCACTAACTTGTTAACAAGTGGTTCCACTAGCAACCACCCACTACCTTGTTAACTAGTGTTCCTCAGCACCACTCCACAACCTTGTTAACATGTTCCTCCAGCACCACTCCACTACCTTGTTAACAGTGTTCCTGTAGCACCACTCCACTACCTTGTTAACAGTGTTCCTCTACCACCACTCCACTACCTTGTTAAGTGTTGCTCTAGCACCACTCCACTACCTTGTTAACAGTGTTCCTCTAGCACCACTCCACTACCTTATTAACAGTGTTCCTCTAGCACCACTCCACGACCTTGGTAACAGTATTGCTCTACCACCACTCCACTACCTTGTAAAGTGTTGCTCTAGCACCACTCGACTACATTGTTAAGTGTTCCTCTAGTACCACTCCACTACCTTGTTAACAGTATTCCTCTAGTACCACTCCACTACCTTGTTAACAGTGTTCCTCTAGTACCACTCCACTACCTTGTTAACAGTATTCCTCTAGCACCACTCCACTACCTTGTTAACATTATTCCTCTAGCACCACTCCACTACCTTGTTAACAGTATTCCTCTAGTACCACTCCACTACCTTGTTAACAGTGTTCCTCTAGTACCACTCCACTACCTTCTTAACAGTGTTCCTCTGGCACCACTCCACTACCATGTTAACAGTGTTCCTCTAGCATCACTCCACTACCTTGTAGACAGTGTTCCTCCAGCACCACTCCACTACCTTGTTAACAGTGTTCCTCCAGCACCACTCCACTACCTTGTTAACAGTGTTCCCCCACACCACTCCACTACCTCTTTAACAGTGTTTTCCCCTAGCACCACTCCACTACCTTGTTAATTGTTCCTCTAGCACCACTCCACTACCTTCTTAACAGTGTTCCTCTAGCACCACTCCACTACCTTGTTAATTGTTCCTCTAGCACCACTCCACTACCTTGTTAACAGTGTTCCTCTAGCACCACTCCACTACCTTGTTAAGTGTTCCTCTAACACCACTCCACTGCCTCATTAACAGTGTTCCTCTAGCACCACTCCACTACCTTGTTAACAGTGTTCTTCTAGCATCACTCCACTACCTTGGTAACAGTATTGCTCTAGCACCACTCCACTACCTTGTTAACAGTGTTCCTCTAGCACCACTCAACTACCTTCTTAACAGTGTTCTTCTAGTACCACTCCACTACCTTGTTAACAGTATTCCTCTAGCACCACTCCACTACCTTGTTAACAGTATTTCTCTAGTACCACTCCACTACCTTGTTAACAGTTTTCCTCTACCACCACTCAACTACCTTCTTAACAGTGTTCCCCTAGCACCACTCAACTACCTTCTTAACAGTGTTCCTCTAGCACCACTCCACTACCTTGTTAACATTGTTCCTCTAGCACCACTCCTTACCTTGTTAACAGTGTTCCTCTAGCACCACTCCACTACCTTGTTAACAGTGTTTCTCTAGCACCACTCCACTACCTTCTTAAGTGTTGCTCTAGCACCACTCCACTACCTTCTTAACAGTGTTCCTCTAGCACCACTTCACTACCTTCTTAACAGTGTTCCTCTAGCACCACTCCACTACCTAGTTAACAGTGTTCCTCTAGCACCACTCCACTACCTTGTTAACAGTGTTTCTCTAGCACCACTCCACTACCTTGTTAACAGTGTTCCTGTAGCACCACTCCACTACCTTGTTAAGTGTTCCTCTAGCACCACTCCACTACCTTGTTAAGCGTTCCTCTAGCACCACTCCACTACCTTGTTAAGTGTTGCTCTAGCACCACTCCACTACCTTGTTAAGTGTTCCTCTAGCACCACTCCACTACCTTGTTGACAGTGTTCCTCCAGCACCACTCCACTACCTTGTTTACAGTGTTTCTCTAGCACCACTCCACTACCTTGTAACAGTGTTCCTCTAGCACCACTCCACTACCTTGTTAACCGTGTTCCTCCATCACCACTCCACTACCTTGTTGACAGTGTTCCTCTAACACCACTCCACTGCCTTATTAACAGTGTTCCTCTAGCACCACTCCACTACCTTGTTAACAGTGTTCCTCTAGCACCACTCCACTATCTTTTTAGCAGTGTTCCTCTACCACCACTCCACTACCTTTTTAACAGTGTTCATCTAGCACCACTCCACTACCTTTTTAACAGTGTTCCTCTAGCACCACTCCACTACCTTTTTAACAGTGTTCCTCTAGCACCACTCCACTACCTTGTTGACAGTGTTCCTCTAGCACCACTCCACTACCTTGTTAACATTGTTCCTCTAGCACCACTCCACTACCTTGTTAACATTGTTCCTCTAGCACCACTCCACTACCTTGTTAACATTGTTCCTCTAGCACCACTCCACTACCTTGTTAGCAGTGTTCCTGTAGCACCACTCCACTACCTTGTTAACAGTGTTCCTCTAGCACCACTCCACTACCTTGTTAACAGTGTTCCTCTAGCACCACTCCACTACCTTTTTAACATTGTTCCTTTAGCACCACTCCACTACCTTGTTAGCAGTGTTCCTCTAGCACCACTCCACTACCTTCTTAACAGTGTTCCTGTAGCACCACTCCACTACCTTGTTAGCA